ACTGTCCCCTGCCCCATCCCGGTGTCCCCTGCCCCATTCCAGTGTCCCCTGCCCCATTCCAGTGTCCCCTGCCCCCATGCCCTGTCACCTGCCCTATCCCCAGTGTCCCCAGGCTATCCCTGGTCACCCCCAGTCCCAGCCCCTTTCCTTCTGTCCCTTCCTGCTCCTGTCACTGTCCCATCAACACCAGTGCCACCAGTACCACCACAGCCCCTGGGGCCCTGGTGTCCCTGATCCCAGTGTCCTTGGCCAGGGTGTCCCCAGCCCTGTGTGCCTCATCCACTTGTCCTTGGTTCCTGTGGTCCATGTCCCGATGTCCACGTCCCTGTCACACCCGTGTCCCCAGTCCCAGTGTCTCTGACCCCCTGGTGTTACTGGTCCTGACCCAGCCACCGTGTCCCCAGCCCTGGTGGCCCTGGCCATGGTGTAACTGGCCCCACGTCCCTCATCCTGATGTCCCTGGTCCCACATCCCTGTCCTTGCTGTCCCCTTGCTGTCCCTTATGCACTCCTTGTCCTTTCTGCCTCCAGCCCCGTGTCCCTCACCTGTGTCCCCCTGCCCTGGCTCACCCCTGTCCCTGTGCCCTGTCCCCGTCCCCATCCCTGTCCCCGTCCCCATCCCTGTCCCCTGTCCCTGTGTCTGTCCCTATCCCCGTCCCCATCCCCATCCCTGTCCCCTGTCCCTGTCCCCGTCCCCATCCCTGTCCCTGTCCCCGTCTCCATCCCCATCCCTGTCCCCTGTCCCTGTCCCCGTCTCCATCCCCATCCCTGTCCCCTGTCCCCTGTCCCCTGTCCCCCTGTCTCTGTCCCCATCCCTGTCCCCGTCCCGGGAGGGGGACACGGTCCCCACCTTCCTCCCGTTCCCGGTGCCCCCCCCGTGCCGCCCCTCCCGGTGTTCCCGGTTCGGGGCGTCACGGCCCCGGTGCCAGCTGAGCCGGGGTGACCCGGGGGGTCCCGCGGGGTAATGAACAACCGCTAATGAAGCCGCTAATGAACAACCGGGCCCCGGCGGGACCCCCCGCGCAGCAGCGTCACCTCCTGCGTCACCGGGTTAATGGTGGCCCTGCTGTCCCCCGGGGGGGTCGGGGCGCCGGGGGAGGGGTCGGTCCCTGTGCCCAGCCCGGGACTCCCCGGCCGGAGCCGTTCCCGGAAGGGCCGGAGGGAGCGGACGGGACGGGCGGGTCTGGCCCCGCATTGCCCAACCCCCCCCGGGGCTTTCCAGAAATCGCCCCCGGCCTGGCCGCAGCCGAATTCCCCAAACGGACCCGAGCGGGAAGAGCCCGCGGGGCGGGGGAGGAACTGGGAACACTGGGAGTGCTGGGAACACTGGG